GATATAAACCTGCTAGCACACCGAATTCAGATTAGTAGGCTTCGCTGGCTAGGGCACGTATTGCGTATGCCCAGCTGTCGTCTGTCGCACCGCGCTTTATTCGCTGTAGCTAATCCGGGGTGGAGGAAACCACGTGTAGGTCACTAGATGACGTGGAAACGAGTCATGAAGAAATGCACAGAGCCATTAGGTTGAGTAGGTGTCACGTGCCTTCCAGGTTGAGGTCCGAGAGAATCCACTACCGGTTGTTTGGAGACATTGAAGGATATGGCAGCGAACCGACAGCAGTGGCGCTCTTGTTGTCGTTTCTTATCAAGTCAGAATGCTTGAAGTGGTATGTATGCAGAGTTCGATTACGTACTCTGGGTTGACCATAGAGACTCACGTCCCTCCCTCAAAGTGGGTCCAATCCCTGTCCACCTAAAGTATTACCGCTATCCTTATATGCATTGCGAGTTTTGCAGCGATCAGTGAATTTCGGCTAACTGTATTTTGCTGTACGATGATGAGAATGACTGGATGTTTGCTTTTCGTCCTCTCAATTTTGTGTGGTTAAACTACCGCTTGACGAAAGTGAATAGAGTTTCCTCTCAGAGGCTTTTTGAAACACCCGGTCGTTTGGAAGCGCTTTGCGCGCTGGAAGGGACGAATGACCTGTCACAACCCAAGACACTCATCCTTGACCATATTGAGGTTTTCGGAGATAAACCACTCAAAATTAATGTGGTAATGCAACTTTTTCTGTCATGCGAAAGCTTTCAGTATACATAATACGAATTGCAGTAAAAGGGTAAAAACCTCATGTTCAGAAAAGGTACTGTAAAATAGATCAGGAAAATATCCCCGTCAGATTCAGCTTGTCGACTGTGCACTTAAAGCATGAAATACTGTTGGTAGGTGGAAGGGCTGAATGGGATAGTGTTCCACGACTTAACAGTTGGGAGAAAAAACACGACAGGCTTTAAATAATGGAAACCAAAACAGTAATTGTAGAGAAGAGACAGCGAGGTGACTTTTCAGCTGTGAGTTAGTGATTTTAGATGGGTAGAATCGTTGATCAACTGCACAACACTAGCAAATACGTAGTGCAACCACTAGGAAAATTCAGAGAAGTATATAATATAGTGATGCATACTTTGAAGACCAATGCCGGTTAAGTTGGAAGCATATGGAAACTTCCGAAGTTCCACAACAAAAGTTCCCAGGACATGAAGCTAGAAAATCGTTAAAAAACGTCCCACTTGGCAGGGTTGTAGCGCCAAAGCGTGTCTTGAGGTAAGTTCAGGATCGAGGCGAGTAAGTTTGATGGAACAAAAATCATTGCAGTCATCCGATGCTTTAAGCGGAAGGAAAGTGGAGAAGCCGGAGGAGAGAGAAGGGACCGAGGGTAATGACATAGTCACCAGCCCCATCGTGGACACATGTAGTGAGGTCAACTAGTTGGATTAGGTTGTTGACAAAGGCGAGACGCTCAGCTTTGCGCTTCAAAGATATAATATCAGAAGAATGTGTCAATTATTCTTGATCATAAGCGTTACAATCTGCCAAGATAATACTTCGGTAATTGGGTTCCATAGAAAACACGTGTTCGAAGTTGAGAGTTTAGAATCGGAGATTAAGAAGTCACCGTAGTCGGGTAAATGTTAAAGAACACAAAAGTAGTAATTTTTAGATGGAGGTCGGAGCTTCAGCCATATCCACTGAAATTCACGAAAGAACAATTCAAAATATGGTATTTTTGAGGCAACCTCTGATTAATGGGTAAAGCTGCAGACACCGGCCTTAGGTAGAAAATATTAGTAGTTTGGGACTTGAAGGTGAGTGGTATTCAACGACGGGAAAATTTGTTTCAGTCAAAAATAGAGCCATAGGAGGAAAAGCGGAGAAATTAAATCTCAGAATCAACGCTACGGTTCAGTCTACGAATGTCGATGAGAGTGATAAGTTTGTGTTTCTTTTGCGGGTTAGTAGTTCGAGCGAGCGGATATTTTGATTATGAAATGCCATATTCATAATTCATAATTTGAGGCAAAAGCCTTCAACTATGATCCTGAGACTTGGAATGGTGAACCATTAATGACCTCAGTAGGTCAGACATGTTAGTGATCCAAGCGACAGCAGGGTCGTCGATACATCTAAACGTGGACGATCCTGTACGCATGATCTTAAAGTAATCAATAATCTTTGAAACTTTCCTCCGTAATGGTACCTGTGTATCGAATGAAATATGCTAAACAATGTTAGGGAGAGAAAACCCAGGTTATAATCTAAATCTAATTGCATTTATGATTGCGTTAAATGGATCGGTGTCAAATAATGAAATGGCTGCACACGCGTTTTATACGATGACCTATGGCTAAGAGAATTTAAGTGTGTACTACTAATACTACTACTATTAATAATAGTAATGATAAAGCGTCATCACAAATAGCTCCGGAACACTCGGAGTAGTGGTTAAAATGCATTACATGAATGCTCTTGATTGCCTGATTCGAACCTTGTAAGTGGAACGAAACGCATTCATCACAGTCGCTGAGTGGTTAGACTGATAGAGATATGAGCGCACCACGCCGATAAGTGTCATAATTGCTCCAGTGTTCAATCAAGCCAGATGCTATCGGCTAACGCCTGGTTGCACGGCCAATGTACCCAGTCCCACAGTAACGGGGGAATGAGTATACCCTGAAGGAGACCACATAATCTTTCACTCGGTATTTCAGTGGAATATGATATTTGGTTGCCTTGTCAAATTTTTTATCTAATGCTTCTGAGAGCCTCCTGCCCCCATATCACCTTTTAGGGGCAAATAAAAACAACTAGGCTTTTACTTCTTTTTTCTTGTTGAATTTTCTGGTCGATAAACCTATCCGGGTAGCCGCTTTTTGCCCAAACCCCACATAAATCGGAGTTCATTTTCTTCTGCTTCGCATATTTAATAATTCAAAAACACGAAGTTTGTCTTCATTTTTAGCGGAGAAAACGAATAGATTGAACGATCTACGCTGTTTTTCTGTGCACTGATAACTGGACAAACGTATCATTTTCAGTGTATGCAATCATGAACCATGTAGTTTTGTAGGTCGGTGTTGGTTGGAAGGGTTGAAGAAAGATCGGAGTATAGGGAGCAAGAATTTTGAGTAGATGCATAAGGGTACTACTTAAGACACTATTTCATTCAGCGTCTCAAACCATCGGTTACGCTAACCGCGAGGTCCCCGTCGAGGAAGCCTAGAGTGACTTATATGACCGCGTCTGTTGATCAGGGTTTTCATACCCTCATGCGACGGCTTAGTTTGACCACCTCCGACCGTTCTCCAGCAAATGTCAGGAAGTGAAAATTGGATCGATTCACCCAAAACCAGCGTGTTGGGATGCACATTAAGCCGCACCGTGTTGAAATCGTCTAGTTCAAGATTTGTGCCCATATTTGCGTTAACCTTGCATGAAACATCAACTTAATCAGGAATCGCAAACCAAATTCGAGCACCAAACTGGGAACCTTTAAAATCCCCCTTATTTTTGAATTTAATATCCATCATGTTCCGAGTTGTCTTTTATATCAACGTCGATTATTAAACTCATTTGTCTATAGTTGAACCTTATCTTGTTTTTAGTGTGTCATATGTGAAGGAAAGTACTACGAGTCCAGTTCCGGTCGGCCAGATTGTTTTGGCTAACCTTAGCATGGTAAACAGCAGTAGATCTAGGCACAGCTGCCAGAAGGATCAAGTATCCGTTAGGGCTAATCGGCATCCTAAACTATACGAATTGAAGCGGTGAAAAACGTAAACCCCAAAGTGATATATATATATCCTGGATGACCCCGAGATCATAGTAACCGGCGGTTGGATACCCTCGGGTTAAGCAGAGCTGAATGTTACCAGGCGCGCCCCAGGGCTGTGGATAAGGGGATACTTTCACAGAAGAAGGTTAGCTGTGAATAAGTTGTGGTATACTGCAACAAATAAACAGTCGCTAACACACAGCGGTGGCACTACTAGGGTGTGGTGGGTTTCAGGCTGGTCACCTGGCTCCTGTTTAAAAGCCGCATAAGTCCAATGACGGTGTCGTGGCAAAGGTCGATGTGACTGGCCTAAAAGGCCAGTCATTGACCTCCTCACTTCCGAGGAGAGGGCTTACTTTCTGTTGCCTTGCAGTTCGCACTTGGTTGTGCAAAGGCTAGACGTGTGCCCTCAAAATAAAAATACGCCGAGTGACGCTGGGGATGTCTTTGGTACCAAACTCCCAAGTAACTTCATGATCATGTCTGGAGCCGGCTTATCCTTTCCAAGGAGTCAACTGCAGTAAACTACATATATTCATCACAATAACATTGTTTGTAACGCTGGGTGACTTTTGGATAGATAGATCTTTTATATCCAGTCCATTTAAGAATCATTGCTATGATTCAATGTTTTGTAGGTGGTTTAGATGCTACTAACCTCAACAAACGTGACATTTTGTCCATTCATTCACATACTACTTATTAAGATATATATAATATTGTATTAGGCAGTAGCGAAACTATATGACATCCAAGAAAACATTTTTGTCCGCTCTCTCATGGCAACCATTTACGTTTGTAGAAAACCACAAATTTATTGGAAGCAATGATTTTTAATTGTTCATATCTTTCACATTGCTCATAATCTTACTTTATGTGCATCAATAATTTTCCCATGCATTGAATTCACATTTCGTTTTCCGTATTTGATCACAGAAAACTATGGGCTACGAATCCGGAATGGGTTTAGGAGCTCATTCTCAAGGCATAACAGAGCCGGTGAATGTAAGCAAGCAAAAAGGTCGCCGTGGTTTTGGTTTGGTACCCAAATCGGAAGTTAGTTCTCATGCAACCGGACATCTTTACAAGTCAACCGATCCTAGTCTGGTTTGGCTGAAGGATACTGACGAGGCTTCTGCGGATAGCGATAAAATTTGGTTCTGGAAGCCTGATGATGATGATGGACTGGGACGCAGAAGTAATCTCACCGCGTTAAGCTCCATGTTGATTTCTCCGGATGACGTTAAGTCCATCGGCCCGCCCATTCGTCAAATGGATGATCAGTCCAATTTTTGTTCACAGCATGTACTCCGAGAGCTATTGGCTTATAAGGTAACCCTCTGTTCGCTCCGTTATTTTTTATCTCAAATTCAAATTTTTATTATGGATGAATTACAAATCTGATGCTTATTGAATCCCATAGGATGTACACACACTGGGTTCGGCTGGTAGAACAACTGAATAGCAAATTGTAATGTTCACTCACGAGTGCCATTTCAGTGCTTCATCGAGTCGTGACTTGAATGACTCGGTGGTTGGAGCACAAACAACATGAGGTAGAAGAAAGTTCCAGGTGTTACAAACTCAGGCTGAAAGAGTGATGTCTGCAGTCTAGCCAACTTTTTGGATCAAAAGTTTGAACGGATGTCCCCTGAGGTAACCTTTCCTGGATAGTGTTAGCAGAGTACTGCACGGGTGGTTAGATTGATGTAGTATTTGATATTATAGGATCATGTCTCCCCGTATTCGATGGTATTCAGATGAATAAAGGCCGAGGATATGCAGGCTTTCACCTTAGGTTTTAGATTGTAGTCCTTTGGCCATTTTGGTTGCTGTGTTCTGCGGACGTTCGAGTGCCTTTTGGTCGCCAATTAGCCATGGATTCCAAGCCTGTATAACATATTCTGTGTGGACTAATGTATGCTGATCGCAAACAGGTGAACAGGTGTGCTTCAAATAATCCAAAAACACGTTTTGGTAATCCAACGTGCTTTATGGCCTTTGATGACGCTCTAACGCAATGTTTGGAATATCCTAGGTCCTCATGAACAATAACTCCCAGATTCTTTTCATTTAGAGCACGCGGTAATGACCGATTTCCAAATAGATATGGAAAGTGACCCCTGTGACGCAACGATACAACCTTGCATTTCTCAACGTTGAATTCGATGCCATTAGTGATAAAGCATCGGTAAGCTGCGTTGCAAGGTTTCATAATCCTCAGGATGTTGTACCGTTCTCCATGTTTTGGCGAATGATAATGCCTTTTCTCCAAGGACAGCTGGTAGGTCGTTTATGAATGCTAAGAAAAGGTACGGATCCTTGTGGAACTACACGGACAGCCTCAGTCGTCCCGATAAAGAATCATTAACTCCAACCGATAGGGTACGTTATCGAAGAAATTCCTCCGTCCGGTCAAGGAGCAGTCCTCGAACACCGTATTTATGGAGCTTTCATAGCAGTATACAGTGGCTAACCTTGTCAAAAGCTTAGGAGAAGTCTAAGTAGACTACGTCTGCTACCCCCTACGTCGATTAATCTTGCCCACTCATCTTGGGCAAGTAACAGTTTTGTGGTGCGTTTTCTTCAAACCCATGTTGGGCTGGCGAAAGAATGATAAACTTCTTGAAATGCTTTATCAGAGAACCAGCAACAATTTATTCCATTACTTTTGAAAGAACAAGAAGTGTATTTGGACGGTAGTTTGTAAAATCACTTCTGCAGCCACCTTTTTAAACAGGTGAAATGATACAGTGTTTCCAGGACTGAGGAATTACCGTCTTGTCGAATATGTTTTGGTATAAATGAGCAATTATTTCATATATATAATGTGCCGAGGATATCAAAGTCTGTGGGCGGATGTTGTCTTCCCCTGGAGATGAATTCTTACACAGCGCCTATAGTTTGGCTTTTACCATTTCACATTTGAAGGTGACGGTAATCAATTGGAGGTATGGGACGTTTGGCTGAAGGTCTGGAAGTTGTTCTCCGACTTTGTCACCTGCAGCGAACGCTTCATACAACTGGACTTTTAGGAATTTGACTGCTTCCGAAGTAATAGTGGAAACGCGTGCATGCTTTAGTGCCGGTATTCCATATTTCACTTTCTGGTAGCTTTATAAAATTGGGGCAGTTGAAGTCTCTCATTATGAGGACATGGGTGGACTTTACTGATAGAGCGTATCTCATGATCTGCAACAGTGCCGTGTTAGCTAAATCTGAGGATACAGTAGAGCAAGAGACTACACTGATCAAACAATTGATATCTTTGGATAGCCTCATTGTGCACCAAAGTGTGTCGGGGGCTGCATCGAAGAGATCAAGTGGTTCACATTGAAGTTCAGAGATGGTGCTATCTCACGACCTGTGAAAGCGATCCGATCTCTAATTTCCCG